GGGTCTGGAGCTGGAAAGCCTTGGTTCTGATTCCTGGCTCTGCTACTTACTAACTCTATGACCTTGGGGGGACATATTGAACTTTGTTTCCTTTCTTTCATCATCTGAAATTCACTGTAATAAGAAGAATATGTTAAGGACCACAAGAGAGGTAAAAACTGCCCCCAATTTGAGATAACAGTAATAAGACCAACTTCATAGAGTTTTGAGGGTTGTGAGCTAATACATAAAATGAGGCTTGACACATAGTACCTTTCAACAGTGCTGGCTGAGTTATCTATCTTGATCCTCACATAACCTTGTAAGGTAGGAACTGTTATTATCCCATGCCCAGGTGTAAAAATTGAGTGCTCAGAAAAGTTCAATGATGCATTCAAGGGTACATGGAAAACTAAGGAGTTGAGGCTCAAACTCTATGCCCCCCCACACACATTTTTTTTTTTACTGCATGATGCTGTCATTCATATAACAACTAAAACTTAAGGAACATAAGTCAATTAATTGATGCCATACATAAGTAAAAAGAATCTATATTTGAGGAATTTTTTATTCATATTTCCTAAGATTAAGAGAGATACAAAATGCTAAACAATGTATGTAGGGATAAATAAAAATTGCAGAATTAGCCAGCACAGTAGCTGATATGAATGCACATGAACAATTAACACTCATTTCATATCACAATGTAATTTTCTCACTGAAGCAAAAATGAATTTTCCCCTTTGGTGGAGCATCATCGCTGTCTTACTGTGGAGTATGACATGAATTTTTATATTCTTCAAACACTCTTGGAGACAATATACTGAATAATGGCATATTTCATTGTGAAAAACCCACTCTTTTTATTTCTAGTGACCACATTCAGGACATTATTCTTAAACTTACTCTAAATAATTTATACTTTCTGTAATCTTCATTTCAGGAGTTATGAGCTTTAGTGAAACCACGCACAATAAGATAAAGGTTACTTCAGCGTGCTTGTACTGGAGTTAGGTAGTGCTAGTGAAATATTTCACATTGTTATTTGGTTCATGAAAACTAATAACCTTGAGAAATTTAATTTAGAAAGCTGCACATTTTGAGTAATATATAGATTACTTGACATGTAGGTTATTATTCAATCGAGAGATTTTATATGAAAATGTTAAATTAAATGCTACTGGCAGTTGCTAAAGATTGTACTTTTTAATTATTCCATTTTTCATCCAATGTCTCTTCTTGTTTTGTCATTGACATTTTAGGTTGTTGACAGAACATTCCTTTAACTCAAATGTGTAGTATCATTTCAGGTGATAGAGACACATAGTAGGCACGCAGTAAATGCTTATTGTGAAATAAATGACCTTAATTTACCGTGCTCACTTTGTGGGCTACTTCTGAAATTGTTTTGGCTTCTGTTTCACTTTTTCAAGAATGCAAGGGATTATACTGAGCTTCTCAGCCTCAGTGTGATTAATGAGATTTCTAAGCATGTTCAAATTGGTGCTATCGAATATCTAGGGTCTGAAACTAGAGAGTTGTTGCTTGAGTATGCTTATGTCTCCTCTGACTGAGGCCAGACAGAAAAAATAGACTCTCTTAACAGGGCTTAAAGTTTCTGATTGAAGATACTTTGAACTGAACATGAAGGCATATGATGTGTTACATGAGCTTAAGCAAGTACTTGTTTATGCCCACATTTTAACTTAAGCTAAAGGTTTGTATATAGACAGAATAGATACAATATTACATCATTCTTAAAATGTCTGCCATATTTAAGCTCTATTTTGTGAAGTGGTTCTTTATATGTTTGACTAACTCGGTGCAATGATTTCATTGGGATTTCTGAAAGCTCCATTTTGTTTTTGGAATAATTAGCCACAATCATATTTGAATATATTTTAGGTGTCAGTATGGCATGGATGAAGATATTGCTGATTAGGTAAAAAAAATTAGTTGGTGTATAAAAGACGGCAAAACTAACTCTTGTATGTCTTTGATCATGAAGGTGTGAGCTATGACTAAGCAAACAAATGATGAAGCCTCAGGAAAGGAATCTACATTATCCTCTTTAAAATCATTTTTGTTGTATCTGTATGTGAGAGAGACAAAGCTATATTACCCAGATCTTCTACCATGTAAATGGTCAGCAGAAACTGGAGAGGTTGACACTCTTGTCAAGGTAGCTTACACAAGCACTCGTTGAACTACCATTAATACATGTGTTTTTAAATGGTTCTGTAAATGCTATAGAGAACAAAGTCACATCTATTCACAAAATACACTGTTCTCTTCATAGCAACTGGTAAGTAGCACTCTTATTAACATGCATATAGGAGTGTCATGCATTTTTTATGTTTTGTAATTATTAACTCCTGTGGTTGTTATTCTAAGTTGACCAGATCATTTTTTATTCCTGTATTCGAAGGTATTATATCTTTTTTACCCTAAATTTAGTGTTGTTTGAAAACTTATGGCACATCACCTCAATTCTAGCATCAAATCTGATGACAATATTCTATAACCTTTGTTTTGGGTCTCTCCATATTGTTGCTGTGCTGCTGACCAGTGCATTTGGATGGCTGTTCCTCACAGAGTATGCAGGGTTTTGACGGTGGGAATATCCAAACCACCTACTTCATCCTTTGATTGTTGACTAAAAAATATTTTCAGGAATAAAATTAAAATCATTATTGATTAGCAGATATTAAACCAGGATTCTTCTCCAGGTCTCCAAAGCCGTCCTCTGTCTTAGAGGAAATAAAGCTAAGGAAGGCATTCTTTCATTGGCCACTTACTCAGTGAATATTTATGAAGCATTCGCAATGTGCAAGAGGCTGAGAACACATGGCGGGACTGCAGTGGGAAAGGATAGATGCAGCCTCCGCCTTCAGAGGCAGCGTGGAGTAAGTAGCAGGGAGAGCATGGAGCTGTGAGTCCTGAGACTTGAACTCCAGCTCTAGTGCCGTCACATACTGGCTGCATCATTTTGGCAGATGCATATTTCCCAAGACCTTAGTTGCCTTATTTATAAAACTAGTAAGTGTACCAGCTCTAACATTCTATTATCTTGTAACTTGATTTCTTCTAACTTCGACATCTGAAAATTATTTTGAAAGCATGTCATCTTTTTATAATTTGATTATTTCATTTGCTATTTGACACTGAAGTACTTAAAATCCTATTCTCCTCTTATAACATAAACACACACACACACACACACACACACACATATTTTGAAGACGTGTAGTGCTTATCTTAAGGGCAAAGTTTGGCCCTACTCTGTAAATGTGTTCAGAAAACAATATAACACAGATACTGAAGGCAGCTTGTTTTTAACTTGTAGCTAAACATGACATTCAAATGTTAATTGGATGAATAAATCTTGTTCATTTTACAGACATGGAAATGTCAATGGAATAAAACTATTTATCACACGATAATGGTCTCCTGCCGCCAGATAAATGCCAAGATGAAGATACTTATTGAAAATGTATCAAAATATTCTATTGCTATTTATTGAAAATAAAGGTTGAGGAAAAGTTCAACTTTTCAGGTCAAACATGAGAAATGCTCTGCCTGTGGTATTAGTGTATTACTATATCAACCACAATGTGCGCAGTATAGAAACATAGGAAAATTCTAAGAAATAATGGTCTCTAAAGGACTCTTTCAGCTTTGAGCATTACTGAAATAGTGCAATGGGGGCTGGGAGGAGACACCTAATATTTATTTAGCTCTTATTAGGTATCTAACATAGTCCTGAATGTGTTCGCTGACGTGAGCCGCATGAGAACAAGATTTTAAAATAATTACCATCCTCATTTGCAGCCACATAGAGAAGAAATGCAAACACCAGGATTCAAATTCAGCCCAGGCTCCAAATCTTTCTCCTAACCTCCACATCTCCAGTTATACCCTATAAGTCTGAATACAATGCCTTTAGTTTAGTTTTGTTTTTTAGTAGATTATCCCCCCAAGTTTTGTTGCATTTGGTAACCAAGTATTTCTTTGTGTCTAATAACTTACTATACTGATGACTTGAAATGATATTGACCACTTGTCTAAGAAACACAGCACACTCGTAAGCCTTGAGGACTTGATAGCTCTGGATGGGTCAAGTAGCACTAGGTTCTAGCAGTCAGGCCACCTTCTTTCTAGCAGAGTGTGCTTAGAAGTCCTTAGGTTCACTCCCTGCTTCCTTTTCTGAACCTAGATGTCTATTTTTCCATTTTACTTATCTTCTGCCATGTGGTCTTCATAAAACACATTATTTGAGTGGTTAAGAATATAGGTGAATAAGTGAAGTCGTTTAAACAAACAAAGAAAAGGGGAATTATTGTTCACTAAAGCTTTTACTCATCTCAGGTCCCTTCACCCCTAACAGCCCCTTTCTCCACCTGCACACACACTGGGTGCTTACGGCCCCCTCCTCTGGACGGTCAGAGGACTGCAGTTTTCCTCTAGCAGTGACCTCCGAGCATTTTAGTTACTGATACACTATCCATACACTTGTCATAGTTTCCCTAGCAGGAAGGCAGGCTCCTTAGTAGGAGAAACTGTGTGTTTTCCTTCTCTCTATTCCCTGTGGTATCCAACAGAGTGATTTGAACATTACAGATCCTCGGTCAGTGAGAGTGAAAGAAGCATGTGTGTTGTCTCTGATTTTAAGGACGACAGGAAGTATTAAGACGTCAGAGGTATCCGTAGTGCACCCTTCTGACTATCGGAGTCTGTCTATCTGATCCTTTGCCTATGCTTGTATCTATTAGTTCTCTCTAAAACACATTTGGATTCAGATTCATAAAGGCACTGAATGAGCAGATACTTTAACTGCTAGATAATTACAAAGGAGAGAGATGTGAATAGTTAAGTTTCCTTCAGGAAGATGATGGTCATTCATATAGCACTCTTTTGATTTTTTAAAAAGTCATAATATTCTTCTGATAGTTTTAGATAGACACCAAGCACCACTGTCACACGGATTACTAACTGTGGGTCTTCCCCATGCTCTTCTGCAGATGGGAGACCCTTGTCTCTGAAGGACATATGGGAAGGAGTCCACGAGTGCTACAAGACGCGGCTGCAGCAGGGCCCCTGGGACACCATTACCCAACAGGTTAGAGAGTATTCTCATGTTATTATACGTGATGCTTTCTCTCTGCTCACCTTTTTACCTAGTTCTCTCTTCCCTATTCTTTTTCCTATCTCACTCTTCTACCTACTTACAAGCTTCAAGTCTAAGACAGTTTCCTTAAAAATAACAAACCTTCCCAGACCCAGTCTTAGTTTAGCCTCCCTGTTATCAACTCTCATAAAAATTTGTAATTTTTTTCATAGTGCTTATCACATTTTAAATTATATGTTTGGATATTTCAAAAAAATAATGTCCATCTTTCACGCTATATGGTGTGCTGTCATGTGGGCAGATCATGTCTGTTTACTCTTCACTGTACACCAGCACCAGCACAGTCCTTAAAATATAGTAGCTGCTCAATAAAAATGTATTAAGAAAACGAGAATAGAAACTGAATTGACATATACACTAAAAAATATATGATTTAGCTGGTGTCACGTCTGATGTTCAAAGTTTTACTCATAGGAGTATTTGCAAAAAATTAACTTTTGATTAATAATAGCTTTGCAATAGTGATCTAAAAAGCAGATAAAATAGATCTGCAAAAGTACATATAAAAAGTAGATTTGCAAAAGTAGATAAAATAGATGTCAATCATTTCTGTCGTTATAGCTGCCTTGCTAAAATCAGCAGTTAATTATTTTAGAAATTTAAAAATACTCATCACCTTGCATCCAATCATAGTCTCCTTAAATATAATTTTTTCTTATATCAAAATCTTATTTTTCCAAGGCTCTGTTAAGCTTAATCAAAGCTTCCTTTAAAAATGACTTTATCAACCATTAACATTTTTATGCCCTCTTATGTGTTTGATCATAATAATGATAGTTTACCTCCCAATCAACATAAGAATCCTTAGCATTTTATAAGTAGCATTTGACAATGATTACGAATGGCCATTTTTTAGATTTTAATTGAGGACAAAACTAGATTTAAGTATATGTATCTTTCACACTGCCCCTCAAATTAATTTTTTTCCTTTCTCTTCCCACTTTGACCCTCCTAGATCAAGCCCTGTAGCCTCACCTGAAACAATTAGTAAAGCTTCCCACCCCTGGTCTTCTGCTCCTTTCCTCCCTGCCCTGTACCGTTAGTCACATCTCCTTAAGCACGGCTGCTTTTCTCTTCCCGGTGGGCAGACCTGCAGTAGATTCCCAAGGGCCTATGGCATGTGGGCTAAATGCCTCCGCTGGCCTGCAGGGGCTGCCACTCCCTGGCACTGACCTGCCCTTTCAAGCTTATCTTCTCCTTCCCTCCACACACTCTCAGCTCCTGCCAAACCCAGCCATTCATTTCCCTGAACCCATCTTGTGCAGTTTGTTCCTGGAATTCTTCCCAGGTTTAATACTCTCCCTGTTGCCTTTGTTCTGTCTGTATATAGTCCCTTCTCTTGTTCTTCCCCATGTTCCTTTCTCTGAAACCCTCTCAGCTCACAGGAATGCACCCCCCTCCCCCGAAATCCTAGTTTTGTAGAACAAGTATGGGATGGTTGCTATGATAAAAGGGTAATAAGATATAGAAGCAAATCAGCCATAAAGATTTTTGGCAAGAACATTTTATTTTTTGCAGAATATTTTAGATTGACCTTCAAGTATGTCAAGGTGAGGAGTGCTAAGAGTTTCAACTAACAATGTCTTTGTCATTGACCACAAGCCATTCAAAAATGTGTACTGTAATACCAGAATCCAGAGGGCCAGAAAATGTTTGGTTGGAAGAATGAAGAAAGATGGCAAAGGGATAGACGAAGAGAGCATCCAAAACTATATGTGTTTAACTTGACTGCTTTTTTTCTCAGCTCCTTCTCAGATATGTTTTCCATCATGTCCCTCAGCCCAATTGTTAGCCTTTTCCTTTTTTTTCTCTAGCAGCTCTGTTATTAATCTCCTCACTGCAAGCCTATAGCCCAATTCCTGGTGGTCTATGTCATTTTGGGGTTTTAATTCCACACGTCTCTGTTCTGACTCATGTCATATGAATAAGATTTTGAACTCAACTCTGTTTTCTTAGTTTCCTAATATGATGTTACAAATAGATTTCATTCTGTTATTTCATTCCATTAAAAGAATTCCTAAGTTACTAAACCAACCGAATGAACCAATCTGTACCTTACTTATTCTTAATGGAATTGATTAATATATTTCAGTTTATAGGCATTTAAGTGTCATATAGATAGTCTGTTAGTGGAATTTTTTTTTTCTCCATAGCCGATCATAGTAAGCATTACTATTCCTAACACCAAGTGTGGGCCCACTTAGTAGGAGGGATATTTGATGTAACCAAACTACAACACAACTATAGCATTTAGATGTTCCTTTGGAATTTGTCTTATTGTGATTGATTTGTGGACAGCTCTCCTACTTTTGATAACAAACTTTATTTAAGCTTTAGAATTGCTTATCATGGTGCCTGTCAGGCACTAAAGACCTAGCAAGAGACACTCATTTGTTGCCGTTGCACTACTTGGCATTTGAAAGTCATCATGAATATTTCCTTGGGAGGTCTTGGCTTCTAGTCCCAGATTAGCTAATGGGTTGGTATTTATGTACCTTTCTTTGCTTGAGATCTTTGAGAGGATTGGTCTTCATTTTTGGAAGGCCTGTGTGAAGAAAAAATAGTGGGATGAAGGGGAGGGTATGATACAGCCTGAGGGGAGAATGAGCTAATACAGGGTGGGGCAAAAGTAGGTTTTACAGTTGTTCATATGGAAAATAATGCAACAATTAATAAATAATAATAAACTCTGTGTTTCAGGTACTCACAACTGTAGACCTACTTTTGATCCACCTTGTATTGATGGCACCAAATAGTAGGTTCCATTTTGCAGAATTATACTAAAAAATCCTTAGCTTGCACACTGAACATGATAATAATATCCTGTCCTCTAGAGTGGCTTAAAAACAAAAGCAGCCTTCACATAATATAAAATGCATTTCAGTTCATTTTCAGGCTTGATTGTGCTTTTATAGTTTGTTGCTCTTCATCTTTGGTAATCACACTACTGTTCTCTCAGCATTTGTCTTGATGATAAGGACCTGCTCATGTCAGACACGAACTCTCTCTTTTGAAGACAAGCCACTCATGAATCTCATACATTTGATTATGGTGATTACTTACCTGCTTTTGTCCAACATTACAGACTACCTATTACCTCAACCCTGCAGTCTAATAAAAACTTATTTTTTTAAGAACTTCTGAAAAAGAGTTAACAGATGCCCAGGTTGGATCTGCCTAAATTGGTAGAGTGAATATGACAACAGTGATCACTGGGAGGTGTGGGCTCTGTGTTTTAGGGAAAGAGCTCCTGTGATCTTGGGTGTATAGTGATCAGATAAGTAATTTTCTCTTATGTTCTCTTTTTATAAATATGTACCAAGGTAGAGATGATAGTATAGTGTACTTACAAACTCGTGGCTTGGCTTATTTTTTGGGGGGGGGCATATTTCATCTAATGTGGAATTTTTTTGGAAGCAAATATTAGATATCACATTATCTCGCCCATAAATATTTAAGGAAATATTTGTTAAAGGTAAGGGCTCTACACAAACGTTTATAGCAGCTTTATTCACATAGCCCATGGAAACTGCCCAGATGTCCCTGATAGGGTGGATGGTTAAACAAACTGTTATATATCTTAACCATGGAATATTACTCAGCAATGCAAAGGAATCAACTCTTGCCCTCGTCGGTTTGACTCAGTGGATAGAGCGTCCGCCTGCAGACTGAAGGGTCCCAGTTTTGATTCCAGTCGAGGGCAGGTACCTCGGTTGCTCAATCCCCTGCCCTGGTCAGGGTGCTGAGACAACCAGTTGATGTGTCTCTCTCACATTGATGTTCCTCTCTCTCTTTCTCCCTTCCACTCTCTCTAAAAATCAATGGAAAAATATCCTCAGGTGAGGATTAACAACAACAAAAAAAACACACACCCACAAAGGAACCCACTTTTGATACACTCAACAACCTAGCTGAATGTCCAGGTAATTATGCTGAGTGTAAAAAGCCAATCCCAAAGGTTGCATATGATTCCATTTATCTAACATTTTTGAAATGACAGAACTATAGATTGGAGAACAGATTTGTGGTTGCCAGGGTGGGAGGGAAGTGGGTATGACTAGCAAAGGCAACATGAGGGAAGTGTTCTGTATCTGACTGAATCAATGTCATTATCTTGGCTGTGATATTGTACTATAGTTACCATTGGGGAAACAGGGTAAAGGGTATGAGGGATTTCTTTGTATCATTTCTTCCAACTGCATGTGAATCTACTGTTATCTCAATATAAAAAGTTTAATTTTTTAAAGAAAGGTAAGGAAACTATTATCACAACTAAATGTTAAAAATTTTAATATCTTTAAGTAGCAATTGGTGTTTACATTTTCCTAAATGTTTTATTCCTTTTTACACTTTCTTTGATGAGGATCCAAATAAGCTTTACACATTAAAACGATTAACATCTCATAAGACATTTTGAATCTAAGATTCCCATTACTCCCTCTCTTTTTTTCCTTACTTTTTTTTTTTTTTTTTTAGAAACACAATTATTTGTCCTAGAGTATTTGCAGACTGGATTTTTTTTCTAATTGTATCTCTCGGTGGTGTTTAATGTTTCTCCCTATATTTTGTATAAACTATAGTTAGATCTTGAGGCTTGACCAGGTTCAGGTTTGGCTTTTTGGGCAAGAATATTTCCTAGGTTCTGGATGCTTCCAACAGGAGGCACATGAAGCCCAGTTATTGTTTTTTCTTTGTGATGTTAGCAGCCGTTGATTATTATTACCTAGATTCATTAATTCATTAGGGGTTGCAGAGTGGTGATGTTCTAATTCTATCACTCATTATTTATTGGCTAGACTACTTCTATAATGGCTTAGTTACCTGATGTAGGTTTTGTATACAAAAGGCAGGATAAATGCTTGATTCTTTCTCTTTATATTCTAGCTTTCAAGATAATAGTTGGTTCTCTAGCATCCTCCAAAGGTGATCAA